CTTGATGTAAAGAACCATTTAATCATGCAGGGTGTTCCTGAGTGTTCATTGTTCTTTATATAACCATTTTCTTTACTGAAGAACCCTTGATGTTTTTGAATAGTGTAGGGAATGGGCCATAGCCTGATGTAAACACACTGGGGGACATTAGGAATTCTATCTTCCAAGTTGGCTCACCTACTTCTTCACAGGCCCACCTGTAAAATTATTTCCGCCTACGTCCCCGGTCTCGAAGAGCCAGACGCGACCTCATACTGTTAAACCTTTTGGTGCTGGATTCTGCTGCTAACAAACGTCCAACCCTCCACACCCTGCCCCCAAATCCCTCAAGTGCATGCTCTTTTAATGTCTGGAGAACAATCAACCACCTAAGAGAACCAGGCTAGCCAGTTACATGCTAATGTTTGCTTACATTTCTTCCTCAAAATGAATGTTTGAGACATGCCTTTCAGTTTGATTATGGTGTGCTCGATTAACAACATCAGTTCAGTGAAGCCAGATGGTTTAAAACTCATTAACTCCAGAGAAAAGAGATTTGACATGTTTGCCAACAAGATGAGGTAAAAGTTTAGTTTATCAAGCCTGGCGTTTAACTATCAAGCCCTGATGTTCAAAACAGAAAATCGAGTCTTAAATCGTTCATTACCATCCATAACAGAGCGGCAAGAAATGGACAAGATGTTTTCCGATAGACCTCTTCTGTCAGCTGCTTGTTGGAACAGCTGTGGATGAAGTTCACACCAATGCTTAGTGTTGAGAACATGTGTTTATGTATATTTAACCTGTATTGCTGTTTGTTCTTTTCGCTTTGTGGCGACCATGACGGCACTTTGTTTAGCTCGATTGCAAACCCAAAACCTCAGATTTATGTTACAATCATGAAGCCAACATCAGACCTGTTGTCTGTTGGTCAGTGTTGACCAGCGCCCCCTACTTTGTGCTGCGTTTTTATGGCGTCTTGAATTGGTTTAGGAATGTAGCTCAGTTTGTTTCCACCCTATTAAGTCTATATGCCACCCACATTTAGCCCAAAGGTTCTCATGGTTGTTCTAAGTGCTCAGTACGAGATCATGTCTGGCTGCACAAGACTACACCTCTCACTCGTTTACCGAAAATTTGAGGAGGGTCTGGCTGCAGACATGCACTCTCAGTCTGACGTACACTGCCAGCCTATTGATGATGTCAGTTCCACTCTGCCACGACAGTGGTTTTGCTGGTTTTATGAAAACACGAACTGCGGGGCAACAAGAGCTACACTGAATGTATATTAACGCTGTCATACTGATAATAAGGTAATTCAATATAGAAACTTTCAAAATAAAACCACAATGATAAGATATGAATTACGGGTTGATCCGCAGAAAAAACACACAGGCTACTGCTGAAACTCATGAAAGCCATGCTGAAGATGATTAGAGCTGGTAGGAATAAAACCCGAGGGCTTTGCTTCCTAACAGGACTTGGCTTGAGACACTTTTAATGGGTTCTATGACCTTTTTCAACAGGGAGGTACATTAAATGGAATTTTCCAGCTGTGTTATGGACAAAAAATGGATTAAGAGATGAAATCGCTAAACAGAAGCAGCCAAAAGTTACCGTGCCATTGGGCTGATTCTGTCGTTGTGCACATGACGTCACCGGGGCTCAGAGTGCGTCTGTCTGAGAGAGCATGTCTGCAGCCAGACTCAGTTAAAAAATTCTGTACAAAATAAATAAATGTGCCTCTAATTTCTTACATACACTCACTGTCTCTATAGAGAAGAACATTTATTTCCTCTTTTTCGTCATTCTGCTTGTCTGTGTATTTATTCAGTAGGCTTGTATACGTAGGAATTAGATATGTGCTTGGTTATGTGTTCGGTTTCCTACGAAAGCACAGAATCAGTGTTGTTGACATTCCTGAGGGAGTTATTGGGAGGAGCTCAGTAAAATCGGACTGATGTCAGGTCTGTCTGGTACCCCATGTGGTCCATTTACCAGAAAAGCCAATAAACAGACAGCAGCCAATAACCAGACACTCAGTCATGTCCACCACCCAGACCCAGATGACACAAACTCTCCCTATTTCCATAGAAATGTCTGATACAGCATGTGCATTTTTGGCAAGCAGTCTGCTAATTTCAGTCTGCTAAGAGGCTATTCATAACAGACTGACCGGCCTTCTCTGACTATCAAGGTCGCCTCAATAGATGTGTTGAAACTACAGTTTAAAGCAATAATTTGGTGAAAAATGACCCCAAATGCAGCAGATCAGTGAAGACATGCTGAGTCTCTAAAGTTTGCTTCTATACTTTTAAACCAGATCCAGAACTATGAGGCCCATGCAGCTAAAAAGTAATGGAAGCTTAAAGCCCACCAATTAGCTTTAATTAGCATCTGCAATCATTACTCAATCATCACATTCACAGGAGTGCAAATTTGGTCTGACAAGTTGGAGGGAGCTATTAAAATGCGTACTATTACACTTACAATATTGATATCTCACGTTTTAAATGTCAACATTAAAACACAAAAACAAATATTATTAACAAAACTATCATACATATTCAGTATATTTTCAGTTTCAGTGCCCATTACAATGGCATTTCCTTTCTTTCCAATGTGTCAGTAAAATTCTTGATGTGATCTGAATGTTCATATAAATATTTCAGCAAAATACACCAATAATGATAAACATGGTATTTATTAAAAAAGAAAAAGGAAGGCCTTTGAATAACTTTTATTTACAAACAGTACTTTTTCCCCACAGGAAATGAATGGCGGAATGTTAAGAAAGTTCAGAAATGATGTTGCCGCAAATGTTGTCCCAAAGGACATCTCTCACACTGACCCTCATAGACATTACATACAGACTCACACAGACCAGCGCACAATTATACACATATATTGTACACATATATTAGCAACCACCTGGGATACTACAGGAATGGCTTAGCAAAACCTTAGAAACTACCTGGTATAGCATGGCAATACCTTAGTAACCACCTCTGATATCATAGCAATGGCCTAGAAACCAATCACCTAACCAATCACCTGGGATTCTATAGTAGCGGCCTAGCAACACCTTAGCAACCACCTAGAAAATTATAACAACAGCCTAGCAACACCTAAGCAAGCACCAGGCATACTATAGCAATGGCCTAACAACACCTTAGCAACCGCCAAGCAACAGCCTACAACACCTAAGCAACCACCAGGCATATTATAGCAATGGCCTAGCAACACCTTAGCAACCGCCAGGCATATTATAGCAATGGCCTAGCAACACCTTAGCCACCACCTGGGATACCATAGCAACTGCTTAGCAACACTTTAGCTTGGCAACCACCTAGGAAACCAAAGCAACTGCCTAGCAACCAACAGGCATACCATAGCAGCTACCTAGCAACACCTTAGAAACCACCAGGGATAGCATAGCAATGGCCGAGTAACACCTTAGCAACTACCTGGAATATGATAGCAATAACCAAGCAACAACTTAGCAACTGCCTGGGATACCATAGCAACTGCCTAGCAACACTTTAGCTTAGCAAACACCTGGTAAACCAATGCAACTGCCTAGCAACAATTTAGAAACCACCAGACATACCATAGCCTGTACATGCTCACTAAACTGGACCGTACTGAAGTGTAAACGGCTGGATGGAGTGAAGGAAGGTTCTACCTGAATACCAGTTCAGGTAGAACAAATGTGTTTCTATTGGTATCTGTCACGTTTCTCTTTTACTGACAAAAAAATGTCAATCCCAAGTGAGTGTAGAAACGTCTATGTGAACTTTGTTACTCCACAAAATTATTCAGACATACGTCTCATTACAGTTTCTTTATGTCTAGAATCTGTTAGGAATTTCAGTGTAACGTAGTTAGACTGAGTATTTACCCTAATTTTACCAAAAATGTCTACCCAGGACTTTGATAATGCTTTGTACATCATACTCGCCCAGTTAATACAAACTTAAAGGTCTGTAAAAGATTTATTTTACCTACTGCTTTATAAAGAGTTCATGATGTAAACGATCACTATGTATGTAGATCTCTTTAGATACTCTTTCATTCTGCATTTTTGTATTCAGATTCATCTGCTTGAGGAAGGGGTCCAAGCACAACCATGTTACAAGAAAACCACGTGCTTCTGTTCTTCCGCATGTTGCATGCAATTACACATTTCCACCAGAGAGGGCCCCCCAAAACCCTCCGTATATACATACATATCGCTGTTGTTGGAAGAAAACCTTATATCTCCAAAATGGTAACTTTACAGGAGAAGGAAAAAACATACTTTACTTTTAATGTAAGTCAATGGAACCAGACATCTTTCCAAGTCATTCTTCATGAAATTTAAACACAACGTCAAGGGCAACATGTGTTTTCAAATGAGGTCAAAAACTAAAAAATGACAAAAGTGGAGATACAAGGTTTTTTTTCTGACAACAGCGGTATATGTGTGTACGTGTGCTACATTAATACAATAAGTAGTGATTTTACACCTCAATGTGTTTGTTTTACCATTTTCAAACCTTTCTTTGTAGTTATCATCCAATACCTGCTCCATCTAATCAATACTTCATCATGTTAAATCAGGAGCTGCTGATGGAATTTAATGAATCCGTGATGTCCGGAGGCGTCCAGGAGAGATCTGGAACCAAACTTTGTGCTTCAAACCAGCTCACAGGATCTCAACTACTTTATTTAAAATAAGAAAAAAAAGAAATGTGTTTCTTTTTACTTTTTATTTACGTTTATTTGCATCAGTTCTAATGATACATGACACCTGGTGTGTCTACAAGTAAAAACGTTGATTGATAGTTGTTGATAGTAATAAACCACAGTGTGCTTAGCGGCCTATACTGTGTGTGTGTGTAATGTGCATGTCTGTGCAGGTGTGTGTGTGTGTGTGTGTGTGATGAGAGTGCTGTAAGTGCTGCTGGTTTGAATGAATGTTTGCTGCATCTGTTCAGACACGTGGTTACAGATAAGCGCTGAAAAGGGCAGCTCTCAGCAGCCAGCGGTTACGAGAAGAGAGAGAGAGAGAGAGAGAGAGAGAGAGACGGCGCTGTGTTTTTTCTTTTTTTCTGATTTCCTGCCTGTGACTCATAACTTTAAACTTCTGTGTCTGCTGGCTGAGGGTGAGCGAGTGTTCCTGTTGCGGCAGCACTGGTGGAGGAGGGGTAAAGGGTTGAGAAACTGGCCCCGGCCTGGACGGCTAAGGATTTAAAAGCCTTTCTCTCCTGGTTTCTGGATCACAAACAGCGGTCGGAACTCTTGATGACCCCTCGGCGGAGCGCGTGTCCGTGTGTTCACTCATGGAGCGGCTCCGGTTCTCCTTCTTCTGGCGCGTGACGGTGGCCATCCTTTTCAGCGTGTCGCTGCTGAGACCGCAGAGCGGTGAGTGCTGATAACAGCTTCACTCTTTAAAGGGATAATGAGGAGGTCAAAGGTCGAGCCCAGCTGTGGGACCTTTGCTGCTGTTTAGTGAACTTTAATTAGCCGTGTGAGTGTGTGAGTCTGTGGCTGTAAGAACAGAGGAAAGCGGCTCGTGCTGGAAGGAAATGCTGCCTCCAGTGTTCAGGTGCAGCGCTCACTGGTCAGAGTGTGTTATTAATCACCCGTGTTATTAAGGTAGAACATTAAGATACTAAAACACTGTCTACAGTGGTCAGTCACTATGGCGCCAAGACTGATCCAGATAGGCTCATTTTTACATCACTGTTGTTCAGTCTTATTATGTAGTGATTACCATGAATTTTTCAGCATCTACTATGAATCATACAGTAACGTCTATGAATTATTCAGTATCTTCTATGAATTATTCAGAATCTACTACACATTATTCAGTAACGTCTATGAATTATTCAGTATCTTCTATGAATTATTCAGAACCTACTACATATTATTCAGTAACGTCTATGAATTATTCAGTATTTTCTATGAATTATTCAGTATCTACTATGAATTATTCAGTAATGTCTATGAATTATTCAGAATCTACTTAACATTATTCAGTAACGTCTATGAATTATTCAGTATCTGCTATGAATTAATTCAGTACCTACTATGAATTATTTAACATTCACTATGAATTATTCAGGATCTACCATGAATTATTCAGGATCTACTATAAATTATTCAGTATCTACTACAGTGGTATTACTATATTGTTAACATACTGTTTTGTGTTTTTGGTTGTTTGTTGTTGTTTGGTTTTGTGGATTTTTTATTTTTTTTGGTATTTGTTTTTGTCACCACATGAAAAACAGATGCCTCTTCTGCTCATTACAGTAAATATGCTGCCAGTAAATTAGTAGCAATATTTGACTGCAAGCATTCAATGATATTCAGATATTGTATAGCATATTCGAGAATTCAGCCTCACTGTTAAAGCAAACATCTGCCAAACAATCAAACTGCCAAACTATTGCTTTAGGTAAGTTTGCAGAGTACTGTTTGCAGTATAGAGGCACCAGGCTAAGTTGCTAAAGTGCTACAGTTGGGCCTAATTCACCAAACGTTCTTAAGAAGAAATTTCTTCTTAAAACCCACTTAAGCAGTTTTCACTAAGACTCTAACATTCACCAGTGTTTTCTTATGTGGAATTTGTTCTTAGGTAAGAACAGAATCTACACACACTCAAGAACGCTAACGTGAGAACAGTTCTGCGCTTTAAAAACACGTCATGAATCTGATGTAGACTTTTTTCTTAGAACCTTTATCTAGAACACATTTAAGAACAAACTTAGGAAGATCTTGGAGAATGAGGCCGAATGTTATTATTGTGTTCACTAGACAAAGGCTGGTGACGGCTGGTTGTTCAGTGGTTGTAAATGGCTGAGATGTGGCCTACAGAAGTCCAGCGTGCTGTTATAGTGAATTACACTGTGTTAGTCCGTAGGTGCTGACTGTACTGTGTGTTTAGTGATCTGACTGAATGTTGCTTTAAACACTCTGCAGCTTCTTGTTTTTAATGTTACGATCATGTGCTATACAGTCATACGGCATGTATGGGGTCAACCAAACAGCCTCCCATATTTATCTGCTTCAAAGCAGGACAAAAGGGGGACTGAGTGGGAAACTAATAGGACAGTTGCTCAATCATTATTGCTTCTATCAGTATATGAAAAATGAGAGGTTGCTAAACACTACAGTCTGAGTTGTGTGTACAGACTGCAGTTTTACTGTCTTCACACACCGACACTCCTTACTGTTAATCATTCACTCAGACGTTGGTGGTCTCATCAGTGTTAACGAAACCAAGCTGTCATTTCATATGAATTATCTTTGACTCGTAGCTCACAGACATGAGAAGAAGCAGTGTGGACAGTGTCAATAAGTGAGCACATCCTCTACAGAGAACCGCACATTTTACTGCACTATTACCATTTTTTTACTGAATTTAACAAATTTGGGGGGAAACAGTAAGTGTGTATTAAATGTGTTCACCTATTTACACTCCGAGAGTTTGACCGGGGGTGCACAAACTTTTGCACAGGCCGGTACATGTAAACCATTCTCTAACTAATGATGTAAATAGTGTAACTTCGTTCACCTGCTTTAGTTTTTGAAGCCATAATTATTACCAAATATGCAGAAATACTCAACACGTGAAAATCCTAGTAGTGAAATGTGTGCCGTTTCTGTTATTGTGGCCCACAGAGCCGCAGTTAGATGCCTGTTTTGGATACGCAAAGACGTTTTGTGGAGATATAATCTGGATTACTTTAAAATTCAAATGAAACAAAATGCCACTTCAGTAATGCGTTAGTCATCGCTAGGTGTTCATAAGAATTCACTTTCAGTCATAAACAGAAAATAAATGTTTGCTCTTGCATGTTTGCACGCTTTGTGCTGTGGCTGGAAAATGTGAAATGGAAAAACAGAGCTCAGCGTGGCTCATAGCTGTGTCGGATGCTTGTTTGTGTGTTATGGGATGAAGGTGCTGCAGTGCAGAGAGGAAACTGTGGTGAAGGATCAAAATGCTCAGCTCTGCTCAGTCCATCACATCAACCTGCTGTTTATTACTGGAAATAACTGATAATAAAGCTGATCAGGGCTGCATTCTCAGTGTGGTACAGGTTGTTGTAGATGGCAGTTCAGAGCAGCAGTTGACTCTATTTTCAGTAGAGCTATTTTCTCTGAGGTGCCCTCTTCCTTCTCTCAGATCTAAAGTACTCTTTATTATCTGCTACCACATAGCATGTATTTATTCAATTCAAGTCTGGCAAACCATTAATCACAAATAACTGCAAATTTTGTGTGTAGTTAATTGTGATAACCACATTGTTTTGTGCAGTCATCCACAATTAAATACAAAGCTTTATGTAGTTAGTTGTAGATAGATAGATAGATACAAAAAAAAACATCTACAGGCATGTACACAACCAGAAATATACAAAAATTTGTAATAAGATCTATAACAAAGGCAGTGCAATAATGAATGTACAAGGAGGCGCAGGTAACAGCACATAATTGTGATTAATCGCATTGTTTGTGTGGTCAATCAAGACGTTGACATTATTTTGTGCAATCAATATTAATCACATTGTTTTGTGCAGTTCTTCCCAATTAATCATACTATTCTGTGTCGTTATCATGATTAATCACATTGTGTTTTGTAGCTGCTAATTTTGTTAGTTTGCTGCTCATTGATTTATCCATAGCTCTCCTGCAAGCATCTGTCCAGTGTCTGCTGAAAATGCTGAAGGTTCCGCTTTAAAATCTATTTAAAAGCTGTTTGTGAACGAAAGCGGTACAATCACGGATTCTATCCAATATAGAGCGCTGCAGCTGGGCTTCAGCCTGCAGCACTGCGGAGGGGTCGAAGGGTCAAACTAGGAAAATTTAATTTCTTGCATTAGCACTTTATGAACATGCAAACATTGACAGTCATAATTATTTATTTGTATATTTGTATGTTTTATAATATTTCAAGAACTACTTGTTCGGCCTACTGTTGAGCTATGATGTGCTGTGTATTGCTGCTGTGAATGATCTCGTGTTTGATAAAAGCACAATACAAATGAAACTGGACTGGATGAGCAAAAGGCTTTTAATCGTTAGCTTATTGCCTTTTGTAATGAGTAATCTATTAGTTTCGTCTAACATCACAAATGTTTGTAGTGCTCTATCAGACATAATGATTCAATTAAAGTCACATTTATTGAGAAATGAAAATAAAGTGGAAATTATTGTGCTACAGCAACAACATACTCCTACAGACAACACATCTGAAAGTACATGGGTCTAATGGCATGTGGCTTTTGCTCAGTGCTAACTGTATTTAAAAATGGGCTAAAGCACATTAGCATAGCTAGAAACAATAGAAGCCAAGTTGAATTCTGTACTTTAGTCCACGTTTATAGGTAACAGTGAGTCATACAGTGTCAGAAACCACAGAATCAGGTCTGTTAGAGAAACTGAACACCTGTGTATGGTTTTTGGATTCAGACAGCAGTTAGCACCACGCTACCTGGTTTTGCTAATTAGCTTTACTTGCTTTAGAGCTCCAGTGCTAAAACTAAAGAAGCAAACTTCAGATACCATAAAGTCTTGGCCGATTGCTTAAATGTGTTTTTTTTTCACCTAAAACATTAATTTACCCTAAACTATCGATGCTTTGCTCTTTGTTAGTGCACGTTGCCCTCAGTGCTGAGTGATGAAGTTATTATCAGATACTGGTAAGCAGAAATTTGCAGGTGAAATCAGGCCATAAACTACCGAGAGAACAGTCCACCTCTCCATCTCGTAAAGTCTGCTTGTCCAGTCATGTGTGTATGTGAGTCATGTGTGTATGTGAGCTCCAGACTGGAGATGTGCTAATTTCTATGGAGGAGGTTATGGGCTAATGCTGAGGAGCCATTACACATGATGAAAGCATGCAGTGTGATCATATGAGCAACTATTACCAGCATATCAGCACTGTGTCGACAAAACCTGGAGACTTTAAAACGCTAATTTACAGCAGGAGGAAAAAAGCGCTCTTAACTTTCAATGGAAGTCCAGATTTTAAAGTACTTTTAGACCATTTCTGTTCATCCATTCATCATGAAATTTTACAGTACACTGTAAAAATGATGATGCAGTGAGCAACAGGGTTGACTGGAAATGTTGGGTTTATTGAACTTTAATTAATAAGTTAACAGATGTAAAACACAAATTATTCTTCTGTTAACTTAAGAAATGTTACAATAAGTTCAGTAAACTTAGTTCAGTAATTACTATTATCATTAAGGTTTTAATGTTTAAAAACTGCATAATTTTTTACACTGTGCAAAAAAACCGTAAAAAGACTTTTTTTTAGACTATTTTAAGGGGAGTCGCGGCCAGAAATGACTTTGATGCATTAATGTTAATTAAGAATTTAAAGATGAACCATGCTAAAAAGACTATTC